TTTCTACACAAGCCGTTGATCGACTGCAGTTATGTTGTGGATTATTGTTATGTATTTATCAGCCATTTAGATTCCGACGGCACCCATTCACTGCAGAGGATCCCATTGATGAGCAAGTGATGTAATGCAATAATACATTTCTCCAAATTTGTTCCGGTGAAGAAACAAACTCATCTACATCTTGGATGGCTTGAGGGTGAGTACATTTTCAGCAAATTCTCATTTTTAGGTGAACTATTCCTTTAATAAAATATGCTTTCATACTTTGAGTTGTCCCTTATCAATGCAAAGACATCACTAAAAATTACAAAGGTTTATACTGATATGCAAAACCCCACTTTGCCTAGGGCATTCCCAAACTTTTGGAGGACACTGTACATACATGCACAGAGAATCTAAACATAATTTTGCACTGCACTCAGACCACGATTTATTGATACAAACCTCTACCGCATTGCTTCCCGTTTTCTCATAAATATCATCCCCTGCAAGCCACACAAATACACAAGACATCAAAAACAGGCTTATTGTTGTGTATAGCGTGTGTTTGTGTGTGTGTGTGTGTGTGTGTGTGTGTGTGTGTGTGTGTGTGTACCTGAAGCAGAACTAAGTCCAGCGTGGATGTCTAGTTGTGTGTCGTTCTTGTTAGTTTGATTTCTCACAACCTGTTGTCTTTCTAGTTCCCCTGAGAACCACATACATAATTCACTTTAATGACAGCCGCAACATTCCTTACAACCGTGGCATTCAAACCACTGAGGAATATAGAGAATTCATTATATTTCGAGCTAACCTTTAGGTAATGATAATGAGTTAAAAGTTAGAAATAATGTATAAATTATTTATAGTGCTAATAAACATCTTAAAATGAAGAAAACATGCACTGTTCTATTATATACAGTATTCTTTTCCAATGATGTTAAACTGAAAAATCTTTGCATGTTGCTATGTGTTTGCTAGGGTGTTCTTTGTGGTTGCTAAGTGGTTTCTTACTGGACCAGGTCAAAAGTCTCTAGATTTAATGCTAGTCTGTTTTTTTTTTTTTGGTTTGACAAAACATGGACATCCAGAAACCCAGGGATTTTTGTTATATTCAAATTTTAAATAAATGTGACTATGATTACCCTAAAGCGTGTGAACATGAGTAAATGAGCACACAATAACATGCAAAGACACTCACACTCAATCCGTATTTGTTCCATCTCTGCCACCTCTGTGATGCTCTCTCTCAGGTCCTCTACAAACGTGAGCAGCTCCTCGGCGCTCTGAGAACAGAAACTCACCACCTGCTTCTTCTCTGACGAGAACGGAGACAATATCATGATTCCATGAGGGTAATCTATGAAAGAAAACACACATAGTATATGTATGACACTGCAAATATTAAACAAGGTTCTGCTCCGTAAGGTTCTGCTTTTTATTATTTAAAAAAGAAATCAAAATTTAAAAAAAAAGGTTGAAATCAAAAAAATAATTGTTGAAATGCATTATCATGTAATTACCTTTAAATATAATAAATATTTTCTTTTTGATTACATAAAAATGGCAGCATATTCACTTCATACTCAAGACATTTCTTTTTTTGAAGATTATTTCATCAAAACAATCTTTATAGGTTCACTGATTGATTGACGGAGCAACAGACAAATCAGAACACAGTTTGGAGATGCTATATAAATAGCTTTAGTATTTTTCTGAATTCATTCATTTTTTATTTAATAAACTATATTTTCATAGTTTAAGTTGTCCCTTATCAATGCAAAGTCATCACTAAAAATTTTAAAGATTAATGCTGATATAATCCAAAACCACACTGTGCCTTTTGAAAGGCACTGTACGTATTATTATTATTATTAAACATTATTATATTTTTAGTATAAAAAAAATAAACGTATCCATTTGAATCCATTGTGTTAAAAACTATAATAATATCATAAAAAAATCTATTTTTAATATTGGACTTACACGTCAGAAGCAATTTGTTTATTAATTAGTAAAATATATGATTATTAAAAAGCAATATAACCGTTTAACCACATTTAGAAATTGTATTTTATTTAATTTTATTTTCAGTCCATATAGTAGTTTCATGGTCACCCAGTTGAAAACTCTTAACTATAACTATACTATATTCTTCGCCACAATTATAAATATAGTAAAATATATTATTTAACTTGTGCGTGTTTGTATTCTTACACTCATTCTCAAACAGATGAAACTGCATTCCCAGTAAGCCCATGGCCTTGCAGAACGTGTATGTGGCAGCACTCTTCTTCTTAGGGCATAGTTTTAGGATCTAATAAAACAATCACAAAACAATTTTTATGTTCTGTTGTTTGTGTGCACATGTTTGAATATGTTTTCATGTATGAACACGTGTGTCTCTCACCACTATCAGGTCATTGAAGAGGAACACCTCCCTCTGATGCGAGGCCTGTTTCTGTGGTTTATTCACATCGGTGACCTCAAAGAGTCGACTGCAGCACACCAGCCTACGGTGAGGAACCGACAGTATCTGACGAAGAAAGAGAGAGATTTTGACCTCTTTGATTTCGGGGGAATTCAGTTCAGAAGGTGCAGTTTCCATCAGCACAGGAAAGGAAAAGAGGGATGTCTGAAGCACCATGGGCTGAAGAATGAAATTAATATTTCAGATGGAGGTAGAATGTTTTGCAGTGCTGTCATGTGAAATCTGAAATTATAGCACCAAACTAATGAGCAGTTTTAGTCTCAAGTCTCCTGTTTTCATAGCTCACGCACTGCTAAATTCATTCACACAGCTGTTAGCATACAGAGGTGGGGGAAACTAATGACCAGAAACTGTAATGTGAGTTTCACTTGTTTTTGCTTTGAGCAAAGTTTATTTTTACCTCATCGTGTTAATCAAACTTGATACTGGTAAAAGTTTTTGGGTCAGGTCATACAAGTTGAAACTCATTTCAAGCTTTAGACTTGCATATGAAACTCATATTGTTTACCTTCTGTGAATTATTTTGAGTAGAACAATAGAATTATAGAATTATTAGAATCATTAATAATACATAGAATTTAGAGTGTATAGATTTTAGTGAATCAAAAACATTCAGCACAACCAGTGTTGTCTGATTCTGGAACAAATTATTCTTTTGAGCTGTTTTTTTTAATATAGAGAGAATCAAAAACATTCATCGTAACCAATGTAGTCTAATTCCCAAAGAAATTCAATTCTTATGAGCTGGTTCTTTTTAGTGAATCAAAAACATACAGTATAGCGCAACCAGTAATCTAACTCTCGAACTACAGATTTTTTTAGTAAATCAAAAACATATAATGCCGCCAGTGTAGTCCGATTCTTGAACTAACGAGTCTATTTTATTGAATCAAACACATACAGCTTAGCTAGCTGTGACTAGACTTAAATCACTAACTGTTTGTTCATATGACAACATATGGTTGAAGATGTTAAAGATGCACATTACACATTTTGTCAGCAGTAATAAAATACTGCTGACAAAATGTGTAATGTGCTTCAATGTGCAAGATGAGATTGTTTAAAGGTGTCATAGGATGCCCATTTTCCACAAGTTGATATGTTTCTTTAGGGTCTTAATGCAAAGTCTGAAACATAGTTTGGTTAAAATTTCTCAATGGTAGTGTAAAAACACCTTTTTTTTACCCTGTCAAAAACAGCTCTTTTCAGATCAAGCCGTTTTTGTAGCATTTTCCTTTAAATGTTAATGAGCTCTGCTGACCCCGCCCCTCTCTTCCGAGCTGCTCTCAGAGAGACTGTTTACTTCAGCCGCATTCATCACACTGCCAACACACATTTCAGTTCAAACAACTTGTAAAAGTGCATGTAGCATCCTATGACCCCTTTAAATTTAAACAGTTTTTGAAAACGGTTCATTTTACACCTTATATACAGTAGTTACTGTATATAAGTTGTAAATGAACCGTTTTCAAAAACTGTTTAAATTCAAACAATCTCATCGTTTGGCAATGTAATTGCACTTCTTTTTTTCCAAATATGAATTCCTTAAAACTATTAAGATACTTGAATCATTGAGAAGAATCTCTAGTCATTTGTCTATAGCAACAGTTCAGGATAAGTTCAGTACTTAGTGTTAGAGGTTGTTCACGTGTGAGTGATAGTAATGCTGATCTTTGGCTTTGCAAGACCCACTAATAAATGTATTGTTGAGAAGCCAGTTGTTCGGTCAGATATCTCACTGTCTCTAATCACCTTTTCACCAAGTGCAAACCGAACCGAAAGGTGATGCACTTTTCACATTTACATGACCTTTGTGTATAATTGGTAGAGAACTGACTCACCGTCTTCATTCCCAGAATGCTTTGCTCCACCCTGGTAACATAAGTCACATGATCCTCGTTGGAGCGCAGCTCCCTCTGCTGAATCCGCTCATAAATCCCGGCTAGCATCTCCCGTGGAATATCTGCCCCATCATCCACTCCTAAAGGTGAATTTAGTTATTTATTACCTTTTAACATTTTAAATACTAATGCAAGAATAGATGAAGTCTTGAAAACTGTGTACAATGTTCTGGATTGCCTGTTCTGTAATAGGAATGAATCTTTTGTTAACAAGGACCAAAGTATATGGAGAAGCTATGGAAAGGCATGGAATAAAAATATTAAAAAAAGGTAATAGAGACTTTTTATTTCAGAATTTGGCTATTTTTCTCACAGTTGTGACTTCAATCTCATAATTCTGTCTATCATAATGATAAAATCATAATTCTGACATTCTTGCAAACGTGAGATATAAACTTCTAACTTTTTTCTCAGAATTACGAGTTTATATCGCCACTGCGAGTTATTAATTTGCAAAATGTAAACTCAGAATTCAAATTAAATTAGAATTAAAGTCAGAACTATAAACTCACAATTCTGACTTTTAATCAGAATTACGAGTTTACATCTCGCAGTTGTGAGTGATTAACCACGAAACAAACAACAGTATTAACTGCGAAATGTAAATTTAAAATTCTTAGAAAAAAGCCGATTATAAACTAAATTCAGACATTTTTTTTATTTCTCGCAATTGTGAGTTATTAATTGTGAAATTTAAAGAGTTAAATACAAATTTAAAGAGTTTTTTCAGAATCGAAAGTTTTTTTTAGCTTGAGGTAGTCAGAATTAAAGTCAGAATTAAAAACTTTACGAGTTTATTACTTGCATTTGTGAGATATCAACTTGCAAAAGTCTGAATTGTGAGAGAAAAAGTTGCAATTACTTTATTATTTAAATTTTTATTCCGTGGAAAAAATAAGCTTCCATAAAAAGCAGAAGTGTCACTGTGTAATTTTTCTGAACTGAGGATTTATTTGGCTTATGGAAAAGTCCCATCATAAACCAGAGCTCGACTAATAGCATTCTCTGATTTTGTTCCAATCCCCATGTCTTTACATCTCACTTTAAAGTGCGGCTCTCTTATAGCATATGTGTTTGTTATATCTGCGGAAAGTAGGCAACAGATCAAAAACTGTTTGATCAGAGACCAGGAATCGGTCCAAGAAACACACACACACATACTGCCTACACTCCTAGGAGATCAAAATGCTCCTTTTGATTGCAAATTTAAACATGAAGATGGAAAGCTGATTAAAATTGGCAATATTTAAAATCAAATATCCGATCTCTGACCTCAAAACACCAACAGGCTCCGGTTTTAATTAACAACACGCCATAAACACACCTCGTAGATTACGTATGAAGTCTTCCAGATGCATCTTGCGCTCTAGTTTGATGTTGGGACTGTACATGTCTGTGTTCAGCAGCACGATGGCGAAGGCCAGGATGAAGATGGTGTCTGGGTTATGAAACTGCTGCACCACGTCAGGGTTACACATACAATACCTCTGACTGAAAGAAAGTACAACATTAATGCGCATTATAGTCAATGTTCTGCACCTAATGGATAAAATTACCATAGTTCATTTGGAAAATTGCATGTGTGTCTAGGAAATGACACTTCATTTCCAGCACTGTCGTGTATGATTCTCACCTGAATGCTTCAATGAGTCTCTCGACTTTTTGAGCTTCTCCTTGCACTCGCACATGAGCCTGAAACTTCCTCAAAGCTTCATCCAGCTCCAGCATGGAGAAATCCATCTCATCCACCACACAGCTGAGAGAGAGAGACCACATAAAACTCATAAATGTGCTCGGTTTAAATTAAGAGCCCAATTTATGAGGCTCCAGCACTGTAAGAAATGAAAATGTGGCATTATTACCTTAAGTGGTTGGTTCTTAAATGAGAACCCCCAATCCTGAATATGTGGTTATATTCATGCATTGGTTAATATAAGTTAATGCAACCAGGTTAATTCAGTCATATTAACTCTAACTCTTTCAAAACAAGAATATCATTTTAGAATATGTTAATTAATACTGCAGTTTAATAATATTTCTTACAGTATTTTTAAATTTAGATTCACATTGTATTGGCAGTCACAAATTTGGCTTTTTTTTTTATTTTTTATTTTTATTTTTTTGCATTGTCTTGATAATTCCTTAGCGCTCTAGTTTGATGTTGGGACTGTACATGTCTGTGTTCAGCAGCACGATGGCGAAGGCCAGGATGAAGATGGTGTCTGGGTTATGAAACTGCTGCACCACGTCAGGGTTACACATACAATACCTCTGACTGAAAGAAAGTACAACATTAATGCGCATTATAGTCAATGTTCTGCACCTAATGGATAAAATTACCATAGTTCATTTGGAAAATTGCATGTGTGTCTAGGAAATGACACTTCATTTCCAGCACTGTCGTGTATGATTCTCACCTGAATGCTTCAATGAGTCTCTCGACTTTTTGAGCTTCTCCTTGCACTCGCACATGAGCCTGAAACTTCCTCAAAGCTTCATCCAGCTCCAGCATGGAGAAATCCATCTCATCCACCACACAGCTGAGAGAGAGAGACCACATAAAACTCATAAATGTGCTCGGTTTAAATTAAGAGCCCAATTTATGAGGCTCCAGCACTGTAAGAAATGAAAATGTGGCATTATTACCTTAAGTGGTTGGTTCTTAAATGAGAACCCCCAATCCTGAATATGTGGTTATATTCATGCATTGGTTAATATAAGTTAATGCAACCAGGTTAATTCAGTCATATTAACTCTAACTCTTTCAAAACAAGAATATCATTTTAGAATATGTTAATTAATACTGCAGTTTAATAATACAGTATACAGTATTTTTAAATTTAGATTCACATTGTATTGGCAGTCACAAATTTGGCTCTTTTTTTTTTATTTTTTATTTTTTGCATTGTCTTGATAATTCCTTATATGTGACCCTGGACTGCAAAACCAGTCATAAGGGTCAATTTTTCGAAATTGAGATTTATACATCATCTGAAAGCTGAATAAATAAACTTTTCATTGATCTATGGTTTGGTAGGATAAGGCAATATTTGGCCGAGATACAACTATTTGAAAATCTGGAATCTGAGGGTGCAAAAAAATCTAAATATTGAGAAAATCGCCTTTAAAGTTGTCCAAATGAAGTTCTTAGCGATGCATATTACGTTATATTAAGTTTTGATATATTTACAGTAGGAAATGTACAAAATATCTTCATGGAACATGATCTTTACTTAATATCCCAATGATTTTTGGCATTAAAAAAAAATATAATAATTTTGACCCATACAATGTATTTTTGGCTATTGCTACAAATATACCCCAGCGACTGTCAACTGTGTACATATGTTATTTGTTTATTGTTTATATTGTGTATATATTTATTTATTAATTAAAGGGTTTATGTATTCATTATTATTAGTAGTATTTGTTTTAAAAGCAATAAAAGATTAACCACATAAATATAATTTTATGTATGTTTATTTAATTAAAATATATTACTTTTTTTACTATATTTATAAATTTAGTAAAACATAAATGTATACTATATTTAACTATATTACATTTTGTCTATTGTGTTTATATTGTGTATATTTATTTATTTTATTTATTTATTTATTTATTTATTTTATTATCTGTGTCTTGTTTTTGTTGTTGTTCCAGTGCATCGGAAGCTTCTTTTCTCATCAAGGCAAACATACTGTAAACATACCTGGGCATTTTTTTAATTCAACTATTATTATTTATTTTTTCAGGGCTTATTATGAATGTTTTATATGACTTACATTTTTGCCTCATCAGACAGAGGATGTGTAATTGTCTGCAAAATGACTATGATACAGAGAAAAGTAGAGTGCATAAAATTGTATGAAGACACAACTCACTCTAACACATCTCTGTTGAACTGCCTCTTGCTGTTACCCAGGAACTCTCCTATCATCTGTCGACTCAAACCCTTCCTCTGCAACAGGAAGTGAGCCACACCAATGGCTGTGTCCGGAATAAAGCCCCTGGAGATCAGGAACTGGATGCCTTTGTCTGGATTTCTGCAGGAAGATCATGAAAGATGTAGGTAACTCATTTTTCTCAAGAAGCTAGAGATAACACTTACCAATGTTATATTAATGTTGTTGTACATTTTCATATTTATTTATTCATTTATTGTACACTATCGATTTAAAGTTTGGAATCATTAAGATTTTTTTTTTTTTACTTTTAAGTTTTTTGTTTTGTTTTCAGTTTGCATTCATTCTGGGCCTGTGAAAGTTATTATGAATTGTTTCTAGGAAAAAAACAGAAGAGGTCTGAGTGCGTGTGCGCAGGGTCACGTGTATATGTGTGTTAAGAGAAATATTCATAGCTACAAACTTGCAGTATTTACATGCAGATTATTCTTTCCACGTCAGTTCACATCTTGTCAACACTCTGTTCCAGAGACGCAATCGTCCATATGTGCATCACAATGTCTATATCAAAACAGGACTGAGCAGCTTATATTTATGTTTATGTTGACTACTCTTCCAAAGTCTGGGGGCAGTATTTTTTTTAAAGAAATTAATACTTTTATTCAGCAAGAATGCATTCAATTGATCAAAAGTGACAGTAATGACATTTATAATGTTACCAAAGATGTCTATTTCAAATACATTTTTTTTTTTTTTTTATTCAGAATTCGGCTTTGCATCAGAGGAATAAATTAATATTAATAAAATAAATTAAATTAATAAATAAACATATTTTATAATTTATATGAAAACAGAAAACTGTTGTTTTAAATAATAATATTTCACAATTTTACTGTTTTTCTGTAATTTCAGTCAAATAAATGCAGTCTTGGTGAGCAAAAGAGACCTACTGTACTAACCCCAATCATTTGAAATCATTTGAAAGTACAACAGTCCATGGCATTTGAGGCGTAAAATTAAGCCAATAATGACATTTAAACACCTTTCTCTTAGAGATTAAGATGAAATGTAGAAATTATATTTCATAGCCCACGAGTCTAGACAGTTAAACTAATTTATACAGTTTGCCACTCAAAATTGCTACTAATTATGTAATGTTAATCACAGAAAACCACATATTAACCTTAAACCTATTTCTCTCAAAAAATAAATAAATAAATAAAAAATGAATGATTTACTCAGATCTTTGGGGCATGAAATCGTAAAGATACAGAAGTGAAAGAGCCTGTTTAATCTGGAAAATTATCACTTAAAACCAAATTCCGATTTTTAGCACAAGATACTTTCAAACTTAATTTTTTAAGATACTTTCACTTTTTGACCCCAAACATGCTACACGCCACTTACTCGTTGTGAGCAAATAGCTGAAAAACAAAATTCCCTCATACATCCTGACAGAAACCTTATAAAAGCAACAGTGTCCCTTAGTCACAGCCTGAGTAAAACCGTGTGTGTGTGAGTGGATCACCTGGTTACCTTGGCAACCGTGGTGCTACTCACGTCAAGCATGTCAAAGTGAATCTGATCTGAGATTTCAATTGAGTGCTGATGCACTCTGAAGCCTCTGACGATTGGCTTTATTCTGTGTGTGTGTGTGTGTGTGTGTGTGTGTGTGTGTGTGTGTGTGTGGTTGTCTAATAGAAATACACACACAAAATAGAGCAGAGAAAGAGCTTCACAATCACCCCTGAGGGAGTTAATATAGTCTTCTTGAGTATTTGTGTATGTATACGTGAGCAAGCGTGTGCGTTTTTGTCAGAGTTTATCAGCAGGTATAATGAAAATGCACTCAACTTTTTAGTCATGGGCAAACTGACCCTGCAAACAAAAGCTCTTATCTTTAGGATTAGTAATTTGAACAATTCTATAATATGTTTGCTTGCTTGTTTGTAAGGCCTATAAAACCTTTAAAACATAAAGTTCTTTCAGAACTTTCAAAAAAGTTTTGATAAGCCAAAATTTAAAGTTTACCTTGACAAACTTAGCATTTCTAGTTAAATATGAGAGTTATATTAATTTCTTCTAATCCCTTTATGAAGCAGTTTTCCTCATATGATAGTAAGATTTGCAGTATTGTTTTTTTTACTAAAACTACTGATTTTTTTTTTTCAGTAACTGAAATAAAGTATAAATATTAGTTGAAAAGCTTAAACTTACAAATTAGAAATGTTGCTTTGGGAACTAAATTAATTTTAAAGTACTAAAATTACTAAAACTAAAACGTAAAAATAAATTAAAGCTGTTTAGAAGTATATAAAAAATGAATAAAATTTCAAAGCAACAAAAAAAAGAAACTAAAATTAAAATGAAAATTACCACAGTAATAAAATTACTAAAACTGAAATAAAAATAAAGCCATATAGAAACAGGCTGTGAGTCAGAAGCGCCAGACTGTCCTTGCAAAGTTGGAACTGCCCCACTTTATAGAAACAGACACCAGCATTGTAGGCTAGTCCTCGTCCTCCGCAAAATGCGCTGTACACACCTGAATATTTGGGTTGAACTGTTCTGGAACAGTGTTGTAATGGGGGCGTGTTAGAACGAGCCGTTTTAGGTAGGCGTGGTTGACTCTTAACTTTTATAAAGAATATCTCTTTGGATTTGAGACTTTAGTCTTTGCAACTTTACAGATCTTCTTTATGCACCAAGAGCTTGTAACACTCCAAAGAGAAAGGAAAAATTGAAATCGCATCATATGACCCCTTTAATAAATATTAAAATGGTATACAAATAATATTAAAATAGCACTAGATTTAGTAGGTTTTACTGTCTTTGCAGGACATCCAAGGCTGTCAAACATAGCAAAACCTGTAAAACGCTTAAAAAGCCACTGTAAATGGAAATATTTGACGTTTAACCTTCGTACTCACACATTGAAGAGGTTGAGTCCAATGCGGTAAAGGCGTTTGCGTGCAATATCCGTCGAGAGCGTGCCACAGGGTGTGTCCTGGCAATGTGGGCGGGGCAGAGACAGAATCATCGTCTCACACGCTGATGTTGAGGTGCTGCTGCTACTGACGGGCTCTGAGCTGTTTTCCGCCATCTCTGGTCCAGTCTGGTTGGTCTTTTTCCCCTCCAGTCCCACCCCTGACGGTTCATCCGTTCCAGTTGGCTGTTGGTTCTCTTTCTCTTCCTCGCTGGGTGGCAGAGCTGGGAACTCAGGCTCTGCCGTGGCCGACGATGCCGACTGGCCTGCATTCTGTCCCCCCGTTTTGGGTTTCAAGCTGGTCTCCTTGGATACGCCGTTACCAAGGGAAACTGACTCCAGCATTGAGGAGGAGAGGCGAAAGTTGTGGTTGTCAATTTGGACAGTCACGTCCCTGAAAGCCATCATGAGTTTACTGGCGCTGCGGGGCATGCTCTCCCCACAGCTGCTCTGTGTGGTATCCTGTAGGGCAGTGGGGTCCATCAGGAGCCCCTCGGGATGGGATCCAGAGGGAGGGGCCACAGTGGACACTCCTTCCCCATCTCGAACAGAATTCCAGCTGTTCAAAGCCTCATCAATAGACCGTGCTAATGACTGAACCTGGCAGGGAGAATAGAATAGATGGTTGGTCTTTTTCCCCTCCAGTCCCACCCCTGACGGTTCATCCGTTCCAGTTGGCTGTTGGTTCTCTTTCTCTTCCTCGCTGGGTGGCAGAGCTGGGAACTCAGGCTCTGCCGTGGCCGACGATGCCGACTGGCCTGCATTCTGTCCCCCCGTTTTGGGTTTCAAGCTGGTCTCCTTGGATACGCCGTTACCAAGGGAAACTGACTCCAGCATTGAGGAGGAGAGGCGAAAGTTGTGGTTGTCAATTTGGACAGTCACGTCCCTGAAAGCCATCATGAGTTTACTGGCGCTGCGGGGCATGCTCTCCCCACAGCTGCTCTGTGTGGTATCCTGTAGGGCAGTGGGGTCCATCAGGAGCCCCTCGGGATGGGATCCAGAGGGAGGGGCCACAGTGGACACTCCTTCCCCATCTCGAACAGAATTCCAGCTGTTCAAAGCCTCATCAATAGACCGTGCTAATGACTGAACCTGGCAGGGAGAATAGAATAGAATAGAATAGAATAGAATAGAATAGAATAGAATAGAATAGAATAGAATAGAATAGAATAGAATAGGGGAGAATAGAATAGAATAGAATAGAATAGAATAGAATAGAATAGAATAGAATAGAAAATGTGAATAATATAGAACAGAACAGAGCAACATATTTGAATAGTACAGGATAGAACAGAACAGAAGAGAATAGAATAAAACAACATATTTTAATTAAATAGAATAGAATGAATACAACAGAATAAACCAACACATTGTAATAGAACAGAATGAAATGGAATACAAAAGAACAGAATACAACAACATATTTAAACTGAATAGAATATAATAAAATATAATACAACAGAACAGAATACAACAAAAAATATGTAAATCGAATACAACCAAATAAAATAGAACTGAATACAACAGAAAATAACAACATATTTAAACTGAATAGAAGCAAACCAAATAGGATAAAACCAAATACAACTGAATAAAACAACATATTTGAATAGAACTGAATAGAATGGAATACAATAGAATATAATAGAACAAGATATTTGATTAGAATAGAAAATAGCATAATGTAACCAAATACAACAGAACAGAATAAGATATTTGAATACAACAGAACAGAATAGAACAACATATTTGAATTGAATAGAATAGAATAAAATGAAATACAACAGAACATAATCCAACAGAAACCAAATAGAATGGAACCAAATGCAACAGAATAGAACAACATATTTGAATAGTACAGGATAGAATAGAACAGAAGAGAATAGAACAACATATTTGAGTAGAATTGAACAGAATGAAACAAAAGGACAGAACAGAACCAAATGCAATAGAATCAAACAATAAAATAGAATAAATAGAACAGAATAGTTTGTGTACTTGAACTAAACAAATGACAAAGACTGTAATAGAAATATGCTGAATATAATCCAACAGAAACCAAATAGAATGGAACCAAATGCAACAGAATAGAACAACATATTTGAATAGTACAGGATAGAATAGAACAGAAGAGAATAGAACAACATATTTGAGTAGAATTGAACAGAATGAAACAAAAGGACAGAACAGAACCAAATGCAATAGAATCAAACAGTAAAATAGAATAAATAGAACAGAATAGTTTGTGTACTTGAACTAAACAAATTACAAAGACTGTAATAGAAATATGCTGAATATATAGCACAGAATTCATGCTGTATGTATGTTGATGGTGTAACTGTACCTGCTCAGTGAATGTGTCCTCCAGGTGTGTGAGTGTGGTTGTTGTAGCCACCGGCAGTGAGGTGGAGTGTGTGAGCGGGATGCCCATGAGTGAACATCCCTCCATCAGCGCCCGTTCAGCGGAGAAACCATCCCTCTGTACCCGGACCCTGCGCACTGACATGCGCCGTGGGATCCCACTCTCCAGAACCGAGTTACGGATCTTCTGGAAGTTCTTACTGAGCTGGTACTGACGAAACGCCGTCTGGATCTTACAGGCCGCACGCCGGGAAATCAGAGGACCTCCATACTTTTGCTCCAGTTCTTCTATCTGCAGATAAATAGATAGATACAAAATTTTGACACAAAAACTTATCGTTTCATGCTCTTAATATCTAAGAATCAGTATCACATGCATAGATGCGTGTCCGTTGGGTCGTACCTGTTTTTGTTTGAGATCAGGAGAGAGCTCATATTCTGGAGGATGTGAGCAGGGTGGCGCGTCATGGAATCGAGCTGTGGTTTCAAATGACACAAGTGAGCAGTGGCTGACCCAGATTCACCGTCTTTTAATCTAAACTAATCAGAACCCACTGCACACTCAGGACTAATTATCTCTGCTTAATTACTACATGCAGGCTTTCACAGATTTCAAATTCAATGCATTCTTCATGGAAAATGAGGTAATCAAGTGAAGGTTTCAGATCATCTTTCCGAGTCATGATTCAATTTTCAGAAACTGTTGATTGAATGAGACAGCAAAAATTGAATTAAAATAAAATGCCTTTATTCATTTTAGTTTTTTTAAACTATGCATTGAACAAATAAGACAAAAATGAAATGAAATGAAATTGTTTGAGTGTGTGTGTGTGTACACATATATATACACCCTCAGACACACACATTTTTATATAAACATTTTATATATATTCTATAATTATGCATTATATAACTTATTAAATCATAACAATCAATAAATTATATATAATTTTCAATTATTTTATATAATATAATTTTATTCTATGTAATATTATATATGTCATTAAATCATGAAATTGTTAAAATTTATTTTATTAAATATATGTGTGCATATATATTCACTAAATAATTAAAATGGATAAATAACATAATTTTAAATGTGAATTTTCTATGTATAAAAATGTATGTCTTATATAATATATATTTGGTTACTCAAATACATTTAGAAATTGCAATGCAGAGGTTTCATATAAATCCCCAAAAAACAAATACTAAATCAAACCAAATATCCGAGGTTAGCACCCCACACAATCTTACATAAGCCCATACATGACAAAGCCATTTTCCACTTATGTAGAGCTCATGAAAAAGCATTTCTAAATGGAAAGCAGATGTTTAAATCATGAGAGATGTCACAAAGTACGTTCCTTCTGCTCAACAACACAGCCCAAGCCCATTTCCATTTTCTCCAGGTTCTCTCTCAGTGTAGACGCGGGTTTACAACACACACAAGCACACTGCTGACTGCATACACTGTCAGCACATTAGCTGCTACCCTGGTGTAAAGGCCACTTAAGCTCTGTAAGCACTCATACACGAGGAGCAGAGAGCAGGTTTTTCCATCTTTCATGCGCCAAGTACTGCTCGCCTCTGAGGAACGACAGCAAATGCAGCAGAACCTTAAAAGAGAGCAAAAACAGACGCCAGTGCACACGGTCGATACAGATCATTAGGCCGCTACGCAACTGATCTGAGAACCCAAACTGAAATGTGATATCACTCCTTGTTTGAGAGAGTGTGCAGGTGATGTGAGTGAAGTGATGCAGGCAGCAAAGAGTTTGATTTAATTTCCTATGTTATGACTCAATAAATATGCTCTCTGTCTCTCTCAAGCTGTTTAAAAACAGGTTTCAACATCAAGCAGAAACCCAGGCAGTCGATTTCTGCAAATAAAAGGTGAGAAACTACCGCATGCTTATATTTTCCCCATTAGTCCATCTTCTCTCTCACCAACCCCCCTTCCTAATCATTTGGGAAATAACTGGCACACAATCACTACAGGCTTTCTGCAAAAATGAAAGCTGCTCTCTCCTGTTCATCAGTTAAATTGGCATCAATAAAACTTTATTAGTGGTGCTTACTCAGGCTTATGGTTACTTACTCATACTTAGGGTTAGTGATTTAAACAAACTTTCTACAGAAAAATACTGTAAAAATGCTACAGTGTAAATATTTAGTTAACTGTAACAATGTACCATGAAAAATGGTAAAGTTTAACATGGTGTTAT